ATTTGCCAACTTGCAGATCCAAAACACGAAGCCATCCTTGTATTTGCGCAGTTGTTTGCATGTCATGGATCCCTAGTTGTTTGGACCAAGGTCGCAATTTCGACGAGTATGCGGCTGAGTATGGTTCCAACCTGAGCGGCGGCTGCTTCCAAAACTTGGGAGGTCTGGGCACGGACTTGTGTGACTTGATACTGGTGGGGCTAGGACCACAACGAGATACAGTACGGGTTGGTAGGGTTGGGTAGGGGCCTGGGTTGTTGATTTTGTAACACATTACATAACATTGCTATGTTTTGATTGTATCCGTCAGGAGCAAACCTCTTGGGCGGCAGCACGAACCAGGGTCAAGGCAAGGTCAGTCACCAGAGCTATAGAAGCGTTCTGCTTCTTGCCGTGAGAAGACAGGTTCCTTGGTGTTTTTCAATCAATCAAGCAATGTTCCTTTTGACCCAGCAGGTGTTAGTTTATCAATAGTGTGCATTGCCTAGAACTCAGCATGGATTGTATATTCCATTGGTATAAAAGTATAAAAGTTCAATTTAAAACTAGGAAGCAGGCCTAGCTATCAGAATAAGAAGATGCATCTATGTCGTCGACAATGCATCTAAGGGCCAGTGATCACATCACAGTTGTTCTTATCATTTCAATGGATTGAATGTATATAGTGTCGATTGGAGACTGTTGTCCGGACAATGCCTACGACAACATGTATGGTTTGAAATTTCGGGTAATGTGTCACTGAGGGCTTCATGTGGCTACCTTAATTCTAACCTTCCCGTGCCCAGCCCAGCTGTCACATGTTGTACAAGCATCAAAACAATGTACAAGTAGAGCGGCTCTATCTACACTTTATGGTGGGAGGCACCCCCATCAGGCCCATCAACCGCTCAGCACTTTGGTGTGATGGCAGGTGGTGGAATGCCCAACCAGATGACCATGACTCAAATGCAGGCAGCCAGTTGGTGGAAGACCCTCACCATGCTCATATCCTGACAGCTCATGGGTTTCGCAAGGGCAGAAGCAACTTAGAACAACATGTCGCCAGAGGTTTGCCTGGTGAATTGAACCATCGGCCCATGGAACAAGCACTTTCAGTGCAGGCGTTGGTCTCGTGTGATTCCTAGGCGATCCTTGCTTTTAAGACCTGCCAAATGACAATATGACAGAATCACCTTTTGGTGATTTCTATGTAGAATCTGGCGACTGCTTGTTGGGCAGCATCAAGCTTGGTGCCTGGCTACACTTGCTGGCAACCGTGTCTGGTAAACACGAAACTGTGCAGTTTGCAGTGCCGGTTCACGTGCACACATATATTCGGCCTTGCTTCAAAGGGACAAATACAGACATGCGATCAATACTGAGATCTATGTGATTAACCTTATTCTATGCCAGGCAATGGCTGCCCAGATGGCTCAACAACCTGGCGTGTATCAGACCGGCAATCCAGGGGCCCTCCCTGGAGGTGGGCCAAGTGCAGCAAATGGCCTCCAGCCTACTAGCGATGGCCTCCAACCTAAGAGCGAACTACACTTAAACAGTTGGTGCGTTGGCTTTTTGAGGTACCAGTTGAATCAGGGCTTGTTTGGTGCTTGCTGCAGTGGGACATAGTGTGGCCGGTTTAGGGCGCGTTAGGAAAAATCATTGAGGTGTTCCTCGAAGATGCCACGGCTGTGAGTGACTGGTTGGTCGGCTGTGAGTGACTGGTTGGTTCAAAACCCTCTCCTTTATGCACTGCATATCACTGCACACTGCATACCTGCATAAATCTAGACTGCCTTTTCAATGGCAGGACTCTCCATACACTCCTGTTAAGTTTCCAAAAAAATCTAGGAACCAAATGAATAGTGCGAGCGTTATCCTGCGTCCATACTAGCAACATCTAGCAACTTAAGTAAGGTACTAGCTGCCTCTCCCTACTAAGCTACCTACCTAGCTAACCTACCTCTTAGCGGCCTACCCCCCATTAAAAAAAGACATATTTGCCTATTTTGCCGATGTCAAACGACTTTGCCTTTGCCAATGCGAGGCAACGTCGGAAACCTTTGATCCCAAGCGTGGATTGGGCTCTCTCCGACAGTCACAGATCGCCGTGAGAGTCTGGGCCCTCCCTGAGAACACCGAGTACACAAAAACACTGTTTGGTGATGTATTCAATGTATTCTGGCATGTAAAGAGTAGAATGGGTCATGTATGGGGTCGCTTGAGAATACAGGAATTTGGATGTTGGGGAGGACCCTGCAATGATCTTTGAAACCTGCCACTGGCAAAAAAAGAGACCTTTTGTCACTTGCTAGCTCACTGGATGAGGCAAATACTGTATCACAATTTAAAGCGACCATTGCGTTTTCAAGCAATTAAGCAATTGCACTGAACCCCCACGTGTTTTTGACAGGATGAATCCAGCATTCTACACACTGGCTGTGTGTGAAGTATAGTATAGACACTATGTATATATATATATATATATTTATGTATATATATATATGTGTAATTACTGTATGTGTGTGTGAATGTGCAGTGTCAAGGCTAGGTGTAGCACTGCTTGACTACTTAGTGGCCTCAAGTTCCGCCTCAAAATTTGAGCTGCAAAAGATCGTTTTGTTTTCAGTCTCACAGTCCATCTCTGATGCGGTAAGGGATGAGTGGTATGACTTATGAACTACAGATTTGAAGGCAAACTTTCTCTTCCGACTGGTTGGCAGTTCAACTTTGAAAAGTGCCACTGTAGCAATTGTGAACCAGCCAAGCGGAATCCCAGTGCTGCCAGCCGGTCTTTGGCTATGAAATGTAATCATCTCCTGGAGGTGAGATGTGAAGAGGTCCACAAAGCCTGTGGAAGCTTTGATTAGTTTCTCATGCACGCTTCTTAATATTCATGACTCATTTGACCGTTTGACCTATATATTCCATTGCAGATATTCCATGATAATGATATTCCTGTATCCTGTGATTCTGTTGAAGAAGAGAAGCAGATTTGCGGGGCGGCTTGACCGTGCAACAGTCATTTGTATTGGTGTGAGTTGTCAGTGCAACAGTAAACAAGAATAAACAGCTAGCAGCTAGGACACTGACATGACTAATAATAAATCATGACCCACCTGGATGACAAAAATATCTACAATCTACAACATTAGACATTGGCCATTTGTTTCGGTACTGTAGCCACTGGCTTTGTCAAGACCACCTGCTATTCAGAAGGCCTCAGAAGTATCTCGAGCGATAGACGATCAAGTCATCGAGTCCACATGTGCGTTGGCGACATCCAGAACCTCGCCTTTGGGCTGCTGGATAAGATACAGGTACTGTAAGACCCGTTCTTCCACCTAGCTTGGATATGGAAACAGAAGCTCAGAAGCTCGATCCCAATGTGCCAGCAGTCTGAGAAGAGGGGGTTGGATGAGTTTGGATGAACACTTTTCGCTGAGCTTTTCGCTGATTAAGTAGCGAGTGTTGACCTAATTTTGGAGCAGCTAGAAATCCGTTGTCAGCTTTCATCACAGGGGGTCCTGAGTCTTCGGTAGCTGCGACGCTGGGACACAAGAGCTCGAGAGCCCTGTTGCCAACACTCCTTATCCTTGCCATTGTACGAAACCATTGCACCATTAATTGCTTCATGAGTCTATGAGTCAGGCATCTTAAAATTTGAGGGGATTTGAGAGGTGCAGTATATATAGAGGGAGCAAGTTTGATTGGGTGTACTCACTAGACATTACTAATTTAACTTGCACTGAAGTATGGCCGTAAAATGCCTTGAACTACCAATGTAGTTGATCTGGCTGGCTCGCAGTAATCGACCTTAGGACGCTCTGGAACAGCTGACGTTTCCGACCTTTCCCAGTAGTTCGCAGAATCGCCTCTGGCGGAGAGGTTTTAATGCAAACCCTTTTGTTTCTGCTCGAGTCAGTGCGTGCTTAAAACGGCTCAGCACCACATGGAGAGTGCACGTCACGCCAAAGTTGCGGCAGACAGCACCTTTATAGCGCAACACCCTTTCACTGGGAAATGCAGCAAGCTGCTCCCAGAATACCGGTGGTTTTTGTGCTTCCATGCGCTGGGAGCCTCTCGTGTCAAGGTCTTTGATTGGTGATCAGTCACCTGTGAACGTCAGCCGACGTCATGATATTTAACATGCGACATCATATGACATTGTAGTGCGTGCGTAGTTGCGGTGTGGAGCATGGAGAAAGCGAGTTGAAAGGTTTCAAATATATTATAATATATATATATATTGAATTGTTTCAACATGTTTCAACCGACCACAAAAGAAGTGTTGTTTGCCTAGTTGAGAGATGTGACAAGGTTTTTGGCTACCAGCAAATATTCCATGCCGGAGCAGGGTGCAGATGTTGGTGTTGGTGAGACTTTGTGTTTTTCGTGCAACTTCATTTCAACTCCTGGCTTCACGTTCCTCATCATCTCGGCAGTCTGATGGCCGTCTTCATTTTCGACATCTGAACACAAGCCGCGCGTTTTGAGCCTGGGTCAACAAGGAAGGGTACTCGAGTTGCTTGCACGAAACATGTCGGCATATCTGAGTTTTACTGAGTCAGGCTGAGGAAGTGACTTTCTCCTATTTTGCAGTGATGTTCTTTAATGAACTGTGTACCCTTGCTTCGACCCGCAACAACATGGTTCTAGATGAATGCTCCACAAGACTCAGAATGTTAAAGATGCTCAAGCTACGGAAATTCGAGAATGTTTGGCTGTAACTCCGCCTTAAGGGTGCAGCCAGTACAATTTGGTCATGCACATGTGGACAGGTTTGAGGGATGCCTGTGCAAGGCTCCTGCTGTAAACATCTGTAAACCCTACAGCCTGTCAAGCAGAGGCGGCTTTGCCGCCACATCACTTTGTCTCAATGGAAGGAACCGCTGCGATTGCAAATGAAAAGTCTCCGCCTCGCTTGGTGTATACAAGGACGGTTGTAGGCGTCTTGGGCACTGCTCAGCTGATTCCTGAGCCTGCATCGTCCTTCATTCTCTGACAATCGCGAAATGCAATTTTTGCTCCAGCTGAACACAATGTTTCTTGCGACACCAAGTCGAGCTGTGGCGCCTGTCCCACAACTGGCACGGGCTTGGCAAAGCCACTTGGACTTGAGACATGTTCCATCATTTTCTGTGCTTGACTGCGATAGGATCGAACTTGCAAGAATTTTGCAGTTGTTTCATGTTGTTTCAAGTTGTGGGCAAAGTACGCTCAAAGTTGTTGTAAAAGCCACTCCATTTGTGCGTACATGCTCCAGACCCATAAATTGCACGGGTTGCCTCGGAAACAACTCCCAGTTATAGGCCCCAAGACTTGTCCAAGAGCTCTCTTGCAGGTTGCATTCTAGGAACACCGTGCAAACACTGTGAAAAGATAGGGATCTCTTTCATTGGGTGCATTGTGTCCTTGCATTTGTGAGGAACAGCCGACCCCTATAAAACATTATAAAACGACATAAACAATAGTGATAGGGGACTCACTAAGTCTAAAGATCTAGACCAGAACAGGCCAATGTGCCAATGTGTATATATATATTGTATATATATATACATAATTCATTCCCTGTTACTTGCTATTTGAACTTAAGGTGGTGGAGGTAAGGTTCGTGCGAGGCAAGAGGGCTGTCGCAGTTTGTCCTTCAACGTTGGAATTTCATCAATTAGCGTAGAACTTCAAACAATGCATGTTCTTGAAACTCGTTGCATAATATTGCAAGTTCCCTCTTCACTTTCTGCAACAGATCCTAAAAAGATGAGCTTTCCGTTTCGTGAGTCTGAGGACCTAAACTCGGTCAACACCGGCTGGCGGCCAGCTGTGCTGCGGTCCTGGCTTCGAGCCGTCTTCGGCGAGTCACCATGTTACGTGGCACTTGATTAGGGGAGATGTCGGTTTGTCTCTATAGTTTTTGGAATACCGCCAGCTTTAACCAACATGTATGCACCGCTGAAACAAAACAGTCGCGACATTGCATGGTAAAGAGCCCGAAACCCATGCGCACGGCACACAGCGGCAGCTCTTACATCCTCCTCACAACCACAAGGTGCACAAACCAGTGATGGCACGCGTTGGCCTGTGGTGCTCTCAGTGACCTGCCACCCACCTCACTTCCATGCTGCATGAGGAACTCGCAGTTCACTCAGCTGCTTGCAGTTCACATAGCTGCTTTGCGCTCCTGTTCACAGCAATTGGTGAAGTAAGTGCACAAGTGGACTAAGGTGACCGGCGGCGAACTCTGGTCATGACAAGCTCACACAACCTGCAGGCAAGGCGAATGGAGCAACTTCACTCTCGCGGCCCAAAGGTGTGAGCCACCAAACCCTTGTGTTAGGCGCACGCGAGGTGCTGGCTTGTCCAGGTGTTTGGCCCCCCGGATTTTGGGCCCATAGTCCCACAGCTCACATCGATCTGCGATGCGGCTGATAACATAGTTTTTGGAAAACCGCCAGCTTTAACCAACATGTATGTGCCCACCCCAAGCGTGCCCTGCAGCTAGGAAAGCAACAGCAGGGACAAACTGGACGCACCGGCCCTAAGGGCAGCCGGTATCAAACTACAAGAAAAGGATACACACTTAGCAACAACAGTCTCAACGTAGTCCAAGATGGTTTGACATTTTAGAGGCACTTTCTATGGAGGAGTGATGACAAAGAATGCTTTCTCTGGTTTGCCTCATTGTCAAAGTTCTCCAGCAGACCCAGGTTTTGGCAACGCCCGATGCCTGACAAAGACTTGCCAGAGCCACTCCGTGCCAGCGATGGTGGGGCGGCCAAAATGATTAGACTCTTCTATGCAGCACTAGTGGGATCGGTAAAGAAGTACAGTAGTCTTCCAAAAGGAAACACAATCGATTGATGTTACATTTTGCCGGAGTGCCCATGTGCAGTCTATATTCATCAAGTTGCCTGGTTCCTGATAGGATTGAGTGCAGATGCTGCACCTGAAGATGTCTTTACCCATGATACTATCACCAACAGGATGCCAAAGATTTTAGATTCTTGGACGTGATTAGCCTCCTGAGTGCACCTCTTGTCCCCGTCAGATTATATCGTTTTGTCCACCAAGACCCTTTGCACCCACGGATCAACTAACGGGCTGATCGGGGCTACCTCATGTTTGTGCCTTTTGAATATATCACTGAGGATTCGGTCCTAGCAAAGCTTCCAGCTGAATTCCAAACAGCTCCCGTTGTTGAAGGTGTGCGCAGACTGCAAGAGGAAATGAGAAGCGATGCTCAGTTGAAGCCTGTTCAGCATCAAGCAAATTTTCAGTCACCTTGGCTTTGCTGCGACTTTGTTAAGATGCAAACACAGGTTCATCCAGCAACGATAGTTTGCCCCGTACGCCGTACCACTGCTCTTAGTTCGCAACATTATTTTGCAGCATTGGTTACGCTATTCCAGTGCCGTCCCGCATCATGCCGCACTAGTCCACCCCAGCCCGCAGCTCTGTTAGCTTGCAAGTGGCGGACGGTGAACCGGAGGGATGACTCGGGGATGAACTTGTTTTGCTTTCAGATGTTTTTGGCGAAACACACGAAACCATCGGGAGCTGCCCTTCTAAATCCACAAGAGAGTCTATAAGAGATTGGAGCGTGCAGGCCTCTAGATAGTGGACCAGCAGAAAGTGGCCTTCACAGCGGCAGCATCGAAATGGGGCCCACGGGTCCGCGCGTCCAATCTCTTCGAGTACTTGTCATATGAGCTAGGCTCACCATTAGTGAAAGTGACAAATGGGCAGTGAGTGGTCATGGGATTTCAAAATGCATGTCTCGCTCAAAAAAACGGTCAACACTTACCAAATATATAATCCTGATGACCTGCAACTCAACAACAAATGTTGACCGTCACTCATATCAGGAAGTTCTTGATGAGCGGCAGTGCTAGAGTGGGGTCGAAGTCGTGGAATCCGCATCTTTCGGCCACTCGGTTGAGCTGGGTATATGTGCAGTGGTTCTGTGGGGTGTGGACCATGGTAAGGCCATGTCTCGGAGTTCATGCATGTGGTCTTACATGGCTTTTAGTTTCAAAAGAGTGGTTTACAGTCAGTTTTTTGCGTAGATCTGAATAGGATGAGGAACGGTGGAATGGGGTTGATCAGAGTTGCCGTTCACCCAGGAGTTTATTGAGAAAGGTGAAGGATGGCACACAGCACCTTGGTGGCTCGTGGAGACCTGGAGTTGCTTAGCACATGTTAATTGTTTTTTTTGCCAGGGACGCTATATACTATATATATAGATCAAGTCAAAGCCGTTTGATAAAAGTATGCCACAGATCCAAGGAGAGCTTTGGGGTTGATTGTAGATGATTAAAGTATGAGTATTGCTTTGGTTGACATTGTGTCAAAACCTGGCTCAAACCAACATTATCGGCCAAGACTTGCTGTTGTAGTTTGAACGTGCATTGGATGCTGTCAGAAGTGCTTAGGAGAATTGTTTGAGGGACTGACGTTTCACACTTGTCAGATGTGATGTGCCCAACTGAGGAGAACTACATGTACAAGCGCCTTTTGGAGGATATTTTCCTTTGGGTTTGCGCGTGGTGCCATCATGTGACCTCCCAAAGGTGCCGAGAAGTTTCATGTTTTTCGCCACCTGTCAAGTGAGGGTTGTTAGATTTTCAAAGATAGTCTTCCTTCCCTTGCCTTTCCTTTCCCTTCCCTTCCCTTCTCTTTCCGTTCCTTTCCTTTCCTTTCCTTTCCTTCAAGTCCCAGATCTCAGTGGGCAGAACCGGACCTCAACAGCAAGTGCCAGATCGCAGTGGCCACTACCGGACCTCAACAGCAAGCACCAGATCGCAGTGGGCAGAACCGGACCTCAACAGCAAACGCCAGATCGCAGTAGGCGCTACCGGACCTCAACCGCAAGTGCCAGATCATAACACAAACACAAGCACGCAACCACAGTCACAAACACAACCACAAACACACAACGACACAGACACAGTCACAAGCACACTTACAAGCACAAACACAAGCACAGCCAAGAACGCACAGCCACAAGCACAGTCACAAACACACAGCCACACACACACAACCACAAGCACAGCCAAGAACACACAGCCACAAGCACAATCACAAACACACAGCCACACACACAAGCACAAACACAACCACGAACACACAAGCACAAACACAGTCACAAACACACATCCACAACACACAGCCACACACACACAGAAGCCACAAGCACCACCACAACACACAGCCACGCGCACAGAAGCCACAAGCACAACCACAAACACATAACCACAGCACACAGCCACAACACACAAGCACTCCACACAACCACAGCACTCTGCACGCAACTACAACAATATGGCACTTTGCGTGGCAGGTGGTCACAAGGTAACTCTTGGATGCCAACTGGAGACCCTTGCAACACCCTGACAAGAACTCCCTAACACTAGAATAGTAAGCACAAAGCTCACGACCATGGCAACGTGCTCCTCACCGTGGTGTGAAAACAAACAAATTGAAATGTCATGATGGGGGACGATCGAAGTAAAGTAAGTTTGTTTTAGCCCAGGGCAGGGGCTAGGTAGCCAGTAGAGACTAGGCTGATTTTCAGGGAAACTTACTTAGCGTCGAGGGTAGTGTGGTCTCGTTTGAATCCAAGATGGCCCAATGGGCAACCTGGAAGGCCCTGAAAGGTCACGCAGGGCTTCTTCAGCTGCAGGAGCATTCTTAGCAAGTCCCAAATTTCTTCAAATGAACATTCAGCTCTACTACATGAGCTGCAAAAAATTCCCCCAAGCATCTTGAATAAGTGCTATGTTTCACGTGGGGCATTTACCAAAAGACCGCAAGAGATTTGGATTACTACCACGCCTACTACCACGGTCAAAAAATTGACAGCAAGCAGCAGTGGCAGTACTGCTGCACCACAATGGAACAGTTGTGATTTTCTCATTGAATGTCATTCAGCCTTCTACTGTCAGCTTCCTCACTGCAAACTGCAACATGACAACACGTGTTTTGCTGGCAGCTTCAATTGAGCATCACTTGATCGAGCATCACAGAAAGAGTTTGATACGACCATGGTTGAGGATCCCTGCAAAACTGCAATGGCAAAATCAGCGATGTTTGAGACGAAGTGACGCAAATCCATTGCCTGTGTTTTCTTGTTTTTTTGACCAGATGAAGTTGGAGTGAGGCACTTGAAAGAATTGCAGTGGGTTCGCAGAAACGAATCCTCAGCCAACAAGCCGTGAATGTTTGTTTTGGAAGGGCAATGTGCCAAACTATTCTTTCAGACGCACAAAAATCATTGCCAAGCAAGAGTGAGTTTGCTTAAGCCATGGATCCGGCCCCCGCCCCTGCGGGCAGCCTGCTGGCGACCAGCGCTCCTCGCGGCTTATGGGCAAGTACGGCAAGGGAAGTGTATGCAAAGGAGGGAACTCAACAGTGCTTCCCTGTCACAGGCAAGGGAACTGTGAATCTGAGATGACCTGCGCTGCAGATCCTGCAATCCAAACTTAAATTGGACACTCGCTGTGAACGGATTCTTTGCACGCTTGATGCACGTCATCACTAGCAGGAGCTACTTGTTCACTGAGATACCGCAAACAACTCCGTACAAGCTTGCATGATGCCTTGTTGCAGCCTTTGTTCGTCGACTGAACTAGGCAGCTTTGCACTGGGAGCTTTGGCGGTTCAAGCCACGCGACGAGATCGAAGGTTGCAAAGGCCTTTGATCACACGATGGAATCCTTCGATGGCAGCCTCCATGCCTGTCAAGAAAGCCCCCAGTGTCAGCTGGAAAGAACGATTCTTCGGGCTCTTTGGGTGCACCTTGGACTGGAGATTCAACTTGAACATGCATGAATTGTATACAACTCAAAAATGGAAAAGAAGCCCCACTCAGGAGTCGTTGGATCGTTTAGGATATACCGAAACGCTTTGACGTGGCGCGAATCATTTCATCAACATGCCGCGGATGGGATGGGTTGCAATACCAGTGGCTAACTTGCAGGTATACATACATTATATATCTACTGTAGATTATATATATATATATCACGCTGGTTCAGAATTGCAAGGTAAATGTGGAAACTTTCTCTACCATGACGGATTTGAAGTACCTTGCCAGATCGAGGAGCAACATTGACATGCGAGGTTTGGGGGAACCGATCTTGCAGCTGTGTCAGGCACCAAGCGTGCTCTATTTTTGGTTTGGGTCACTTGGAGTCAAAACATGGGAGCTTCTTGCATAAAAAGGCTTGTTCACTGATTCTTGCTCAATCTCTTCCCACAAAGCAAAGATGTTCAATAGGAACAATATTCCAAAAGTGAGTAATCATTGTTTGTTGGTTGACCAGGAAGGTATGAGTATGATTTTGGCACGGAAACCAGATACAATGTGCATCAAGCCGACGGTGTCAACCAAATGACTTCAAGCATGACCCGGGCATGTGCCTTTTAGAAGACACACCAGGCGCACCAGGGGTGCGACTTTACTTTCACTGAACTTTCTGAAAGTGTGATAAGCCGCAACCAATTAAACTAACGAGCGCTTTTCACGTGCGGACGAATACCTGCAATGCCCTTTTTGTTTTTGTCTCAACCGAATGAACTGCAAGTTCGTGTGTTGAGGTGACCAGCCGCTGGTTGACCTTCTGCTTAGCCCTGCTGACTCTACTGATGGGCGCTTTGCCTGGTTTGCGCGCCGCCACCACCAAGCGCGTGATTGATGGAGTGGTTTCAGGCATCAGCTCAGGCCAGACATCCCGAAGGTGGATTTGTAAAATGAGAGTTGATGAGATCCTTGAGTAACTTTGGCAATTTCCATTCTCCTCGTGAAGATGCCATGATCGTTTTTGTCCCATCTGCCGACATAATGTTGAGTAGTCTTTGAATGTCTTTTGTACAAGGCAGCGGCCACGTGGCCATTGTTTGGCTCACTGTGGAAGCAGCAATTGTGGTCGCCCAAGCAGCGGCCCGACGTGGCTTCGAAGTGGCGGATGCCTGGCATGGAGCTGTTCCCTGCGCGACTTCTTTTGTAGGCGTTCGCCCCGAAATGAATGGATGGTTGGGTATAGGGACATTTTGGCGTTTGCAACATGTAGTAGGCCCCAGGCGTTTAACTCCAAACCTTGATGCCATTTTGGCTCAAGATTGGGAGCGGGGTCCTTTTCTGTGGCGCTATGCCTCCCATAGCCGTGACTGAGCTACATAACTGCGTGGGCGCCTGGAGCTCGGACTGACGCACGAGGAGTGAAAGCATCCTATCCTGCACGTGCAGCCTTCGTTTGCGCGTCTTGGCCCAGTGTGACCAGATGCATCCACGAGGTGCAAGCTCATCACTGCAGAGGTTGCGGTAAATACATTTCATCTTGGCTTGAGGGCTGCTACAGTCTGCGGCCCGTGGCTTACCCTTCACTCTCCACAATAGCTTGGTTTCTGACCGGCGCCGGCATGTCCGGCGTCTCTTGGCCCTCCGCTCTAGCAAGCTGCGGGCCACAGGGATTTTGGAAAACGAGGCTAAGTAGGGAGAAGGAGATGCCTTTCCATCTCCTACTAATAAAAGAAAAGTTGATGCCTGCAACTGACCGCCTCATTGAGGCCCGTGGCCCCCCCAGCCGCATAGGTCAACTTTGATGTCCCATTCAACACGGATCATTGGCTGACGCAGCCTTTCCGCCTTGGACCATTCAGTCCAGCAACAATGAGAATGGCTTCACATCCCGTGTGTATTGCCAGCCTTACACTTCTGGACGGTCAACCCAGACATTGAATCGGACATTGACGTCCTCTATACATCCCGGACGTCCTCGACGTCCTTCCCCCTACGTCCGCTATGCGTCCCTCCACGTCCTTGTCCTTGACGTCCTGCTCCCTATACGTCCGCTACTTCCCTGGCGCCCCTGACGTGTCCCACGTCCTTGACGTCCTGCTACCTGCGTCCGCTACGTCGACGACGTCCAGGCTCTGAGCGAGAGCAGGCGCGCGTGATCATCGACCTGATGCGGTTGCAGAAGAAGACTTCTGAACATAGACACTCCCTTCCAATGTTGTCGCGAAGGGTCCTCAGACCATCCTCTATCGATCGCTTCGCGCACCGTCAGGTTGAGACCCTTGGGCAGCGGTTGCTTTTCCTCCTCAACTCTGCCCATCCTAGCCGCCTGCCTCGCATTCTTGAGGTGATGGACAGTGGGTGAGTGTGACTACGGGAGGTATGTGAAGCTCAGCCGAGGACTTTACAAGCAATGTTCAATAAAGCTATTTTCCATCCTCTGTCCATGCCTCTAGTAGCATGGCAGGTTTCCAGTATGTAGCAGACTCTGTTCGTGACTGGCGGTCAAAGAGTTGCTGTACACACTCTTGAGTTTACCCTCATGTTTCTTAAATGGATGGTTGGGTAGGGACACTTTATGATTTGAGACATGTAGGCGTTGAACTACTCCAAATCTTGATGCCATTTTGGCTCAAGATGGGGAGTGGGCTCCCACTCCCTTGCAGGTCTTGCGGGTGGTATGTTAAACTGTTACTTTACAACCTGGTCTCTGTGTTTTCAA